GAGCAGAGAGGTGCGGGTTCGATCACAGCTCTGTGCGTCAGTTTCAGAATCGGCGAGGAGGCCGAGCGGGTAAGCAAAGCAAAATTGAAGCAGTGAGTTGCAAGTTCAAGCCCGCAACAAGCTGTGGATGTTCTGCAATGTTAAGAATCGGCGACAGGTCTACGGCCTAATAGACGCTGAAACCGCTATATTATATGATATTATATAATATTATTATATATTAGATGAAAGTGATGCCAAAATATGAATACATGTATGATGGTAGTAGAGGTGGGGACCTTCTGTTTTGTGTTAGGGCAGGGGCGCTTGGCGTCAATGGACATGCAAATATAACCTGGCGGTAATCCTCTAAGGTCCAGGAAAACAAGGAGGCCATCAGAGACTGTCTCACCGGCATTCTGGAGTGCTGAAGCAGCTTTCTCGGCCTTGATGCATATCGTCAATCACTGACTCGTTCTCATCTTTCTTCAGCTTTTCCAGTCGATTGCAGTTCTCAATTATTCTAGGGTATGTTTTCCCCATATAATGTTTCCTCAAAATTATAAGTCTTTTCCACCCATCATCCTTAGCTTCACGGCAAATAAGTGATGGGCTTTTCTCATCCAGTCTCTGCGTTCATTCTGCAAAGATTTTACTGTTGATTTTGTCCCCACGGTTAGCTATTGAGCTCGTGGCTGCCTCAGTAGTGTTGCTTTATTTATCTCCATCGTGTTCCAACGCCTCATCCAAACCTTTTAGCGTAAGGTGGGCTAGCGTAGGTGGGCATTTTCCCCACGACTCTTACTTGTCGTCATTACCATCGAATATCGAGTTCGTTGGGCTGGGCCCATAACTTGTTAGACTTTCGCAGTGCGATGGCATGATAGTATCACGGTTGTGGGATTGAATGAAAGCCGAGCCTTCTGCTGAAGGTTTACTTTAACACCGTAACTAAGAGCGGCTAGAACCTGCTCAATCCGAAGACAAGAAGCTAGAGATTGTTAGGAGGAGCGTGTGCTTCCTCTTACAGGGAAAAGGCAAGGGACATAAAAGTTACGATAAAATCCGACAACTCGCACTACATGTTACAGATAGATGATACGTTTATTCTAACACCTACATTTGCTAATTTGCTCTCCTAATGTATGTTAGTGTGCTAAACTAATGTGTGCTAACGTGATCAGCTAACGTGTGCTATCATACTCCTCTAATGTGCGCTAATACGCTCAGCAAAAGTGTGCAACATGTTTTGCTAACATGTAATAATGTACAATGCTAATATGTGTGCTATTGTGGTTTGCTAATGTACGCTAACTTGCTCTACTAACGTGTACTTATACGTTCTGCTAATGTGAGCTAACTTGCTCTACTAACGTGTACTTATACGTTCTGCTAATGTGAGCTAACTTGCTCTGCTAACGTGTACTTATACGTTCTGCTAATGTGAGCTAACTTGCTCTGCTAACGTGTACTTATACGTTCTGCTAATGTGAGCTAACTTGCTCTGCTAACGTGTACTTATACGTTCTGCTAATGTGAGCTAACTTGCTCTGCTAACGTGTACTTATACGTTCTGCTAATGTGAGCTAACTTGCTCTGCTAACGTGTACTTATACGTTCTGCTAATGTGAGCTAACTTGCTCTGCTAACGTGTACTTATACGTTCTGCTAATGTGAGCTAACTTGCTCTGCTAACGTGTACTTATACGTTCTGCTAATGTGAGCTAACTTGCTCTGCTAACGTGTACTTATACGTTCTGCTAATGTGAGCTAACTTGCTCTGCTAACGTGTACTTATACGTTCTGCTAATGTGAGCTAACTTGCTCTGCTAACGTGTACTTATACGTTCTGCTAATGTGAGCTAACTTGCTCTGCTAACGTGTACTTANTAACAACATCACATTCACTTCAATTTTGCTTACCAACATCACATTCACTTCAATTTTGCTCACCAACATCACATTCACTTCAATTTTGCTTACCAACATCACATTCACTTCAATTTTGCTCACCAACATCACATTCACGCAGAATTTTCTGCGCCTTCATCTCAGGAGGCTCCCTGAGAGGCGCTCTCCTAGGGGTGTCCGGCACGCCCCAGGCTGCGAGGCTCTCGGTCCTCATGGCCTCCTGCCGCGCCTCCTTCAGCGTGAGGTCCTCAGCGAACAGACGAATTTTGTGCAGACTTCTTATCTGCTTCTCGCCGATACTGCGGGATAAGAATACAAACTTGAAACATCCAATCGTTAGCCACTCAAGTGTTTATCAAAGAAGCTCACATCATAAACTATACAAACAATACAAACTTAGTGAAAAAATTTAATTATTACTCAACTAAATTAGTAACAAGTGATCTGATGTGAAATTCAATCCTTATCCAACTTATTTGATACAAAACGAACATCAAAGCAAGTTTATGAAAGAACAAAGAAAGATAAAATTGAATTGCGGGTCAACTTCATTAATATTAATCAAATCAAAACTTAATTTACTAAAATAATTTATAAATAAGTTTGGTACGTTAGCATTATGCTGATCACAACGTCTTTATTTTCTACACTTAATATTATGGAGCAACACTTGCATCACCCTAACACATGATGACGGTTATTTGCAGCCACAGATTCGTGATACTGAGCATAAAAAATGGATTCACAGGCAATTACGAACAATTTATGAGAACAAATTTTCAACTGGTAAAACAAGTGATTTATAACAAATGCATCTACATCACGTTAGTAGGAAGTACAGCAAAGATTTGATCTGTAGTGAACGATGGCTGTGATAGTCTTAACATTGCTAACTATATCAACAGGTTTGAGTTTTAATGTCGCTCGTTTGCTTGAATCGCAAATTCATTAGAAAGTCAATACCAAAGAAAATTCTACAGGAATTTATCCAAAACGTATTATATGAAGGCATAATTTTCTTGGAACTTTCTTTACTTCAAATTTCCAAGATTTAAGCAGCCATACCTGTTGTTAATATCAGTGATGTAGTGCAGGAATTTAAGCAGCCATACCTGTTGTTCATATCAGTGATGTACTGCAGGAATTTAAGCAGCCATACCTGTTGTTCATATCAGTGATGTACTAAAGTATTTTATTTTCTACTTTTTAGTTCACAAGAAAAAGGATTAAGACTTGATTAAGTATGACTTTACGTACGTATCGATGATACGCAGCGTCAGCACCTGCTCATCTATAACGTAAGCACCCACACGTCATTCTATATAATATATATATACTTAACTCAATTAAGCTAATTTAGGTCTCTAATAGCTAGTTTTTATGATTGTATCTAAAATTGTTAGGTGAAAGTAGCCTGCATGCCAAATTTCAGATCTCTAGAGCAATCAGAAGTGGGCAAATTTTTGTTGTCAATGTTAACAACAAACAAACAAATGCGAAGCTATGTTAAGAATAACGTGTTAATAACAGAATAAAACTGCACAAAAGATTTTGGTGTAATGTTGTCAACCTCAGCCTGTTACTAGTGTCAACCCCCCCTAGTGTCTAGGGAGGTTTCAAATGACCAATGGAATGGCTATTGCTTAGCTAATCACAGTCTGGATAACATGACATCATGATCCCATAACCAGTCACAACCTGGATAGCATGAGATCATGATCCTATCAGCCAATCACAGTCTTGACAGGATGATATCATGATCCTATCAACCAATTACAGTGTAGAAAAAATGACATCCCAACCAATCACAGATGGGAGATGACACGACTCCTTCCACAAGTACCTTTGAGCACTACCGTCAAACAGGGTAAAAAGGGAAGGTTTTGAGCGTTTTTGTTAATAACTTCTGACCATGAAACATTTCAGAAACAAGTTTAGGCTCATTTTATAGCTCTTTGCGAGGGCTATCCTGTGGCATATTAAAAAAAATCCATATGCTATTTGTAAGGCGCTAGACACAATATAAAAGGCTCCTGAATTAATCTTGAAATGGGGTAAAAAGAGACACTTGAAATAAAACTCAATATCAAACATTTGAAGCATGCAGAGTGTACTCATTCATTACTAACAGTACTCTGAAGTCCTCTTTCATTGTAGATGATGTAGATGTAAAATAAATAACATTTTCTGTGATTTTTACTTGTTTTTCCTTTATTGATATGTTATTACCATATTCATTAACTACTGTATTATTAATGTGATATTACCGTATCCATGGACATGCCATTGAGCATTAACAAGAACCTTGTCCACTGCAAGCTTCATATCAGCAGCCATGTAGCATTTCTTCTGTATCTGTAAGCTTACAGGATGGTTTGTAATTTTGCACAATTTTAGCATTATCATACATAAGAAATTGGTTTAAATTGTGAGTAAATGAGAAAATTAAAAATGAACTGATTTTAAAAAATCCGTTGTTTGTCACTATGCAGTGCAGCAGTAGTGTGTGTAGTGGTTGCGGCCACTACATCTCAAACTTCAAAGTAGCACTGCCCAGCTCTGTTTATACTTTATACCATTCATATCTATCAGTATCACTATCAGTCACACGACTCACACCCATTTCCTCCACACCCACCCACCACCAATCAAGACTCAAGACTCCAGTGAGTCCAGCACTCCAGTCAAGACTGTCAAGTAATTATACCAACATGTTTTATTTTAGTTAAGAGATAGTGGCAAAGCAGCAATTTTTTTAGACTCTTCATCAAGTTCATTTTTGAGTCCTATAACTATAAGTAGACTAGGAAAGTAACTTGGATACCAGCATTTTCATACATAAGATATTGATTAAAATATTGAGTAGGCTAGATGAGAAAATTAAAAATGAACTGATAGTAAAAAATCTCTGGTTTGCCACTATGGGCCCTGGCCCACTTACAGTAAATAGCTTACAACAATAGCTTTCAAATGCCTGAAATGGTGCTAAAATCTTTGAAATTGGCTCATAGGAAACCTAGACATGATAGTTTTCCAAAAAAAAAAGTGTCAAAAATTGGTAGTACATTAAAGTCATTAATAATGATTAGATACCTACCTATTAGGCTATTAAGATGAGACACAATTTCATAAAGGAAAATAGCTCATAGCTTCTTCTTTTTTTTTTCTCTCTGATTTGTGGGAGCCTCTGAGAGTTTGAAGACTACCTAGTCCAATGCTGCGGTACCTACTCATAGCTTCTTCACATTCATTTCTATTCCACTCTGGAGTCTGGACCACTCATATTTAAATGATTTTAAAATTTTTTTTTCTCTTTTCAGCCTTTCAGGTAGGTATATCCTAATTCTCATTACGATTAGAGAAAAGATTTTTTTGTGCAATGTGCACACTGCACACTACATTATGATTATACACACACTGTATGTACTATGATGTATTCCTTATTTAATTTTCCTAATTCGAGCCCTAAACTTTCCTGGCAAATTTCTGCAATAAAAATACGGAAACTAATCAATCGAATGCTAAAAGAATTGACGGATAACTAACAATGATAAGATTAAGTTATGTACGAGTTCTTATTATTAAAACAGTATTCAAATTAACTCAATCCTCTTTTTTTATAACATTTACACAATAGTCACAGTGAGTCACACTTGAAACCCTTCACTAGTAAAAGCCCAAAAGGTACGTACCTCCGTTACGCGTTATAACTCTGCACCAAACAACTGACGCAGCGTTCCCAGTCGGTGCTGTGTAGTGAGCGCCGAAAAGTTGGGAACCATTGCTTTGTCTGGTAATGAACGCGTTCAATACTGGTAATGAACGCGTACAATACCAGTACCGTCTGTTAGCAAGGGAAAATAAACAGTCTGACGGTTAGTGCGCTGCTCCATTCGTTGTGTATTGACTGAATAATCAAATTTAAGGCATTGGGAATATTTCAATTATATCATTGGCTAAAATTAGCTTAATTAATTAACGAAAAATACAGATTTTACCATTTAAAAGAAAAATACACCCAGACACCCAGATGACGACCAAAAAACCCAGATCTGGGTGTAAAAACCCAGCGCTGGGAGGCCTGTAATCTAGAGAGCAGACTTGAACAGTAAGGTTGTCTCTAAACCAAAAATTTCAAAAAATAAAATGTCTCATATTAAAACCCTAAGAATTGTATTTTGTAGACGTAACTCATTTCTATGTTACCGGGTGTAATCTTAGGGCAGACCAAGCTCATGAAGCTCATGTTGTTTAGCTCAGAACTGCCAATTTATCTGTTTCATACATTTATTGTTTTCACACATTGCATATATGTTTATTATTTGTTTATTTGTTGTTTGTCGTGCTAATAATAATAGTTAATGCATTTGTGTCTAATGTCGCACTGTGTTTTCTTGTCTTGTTTAAGGTATTGAATGACCCCATGTACCTCAATTTGCAGGGAAAAAACTTGTCTTGAGTTAGCAGAAAATTCTGAATCTAACACCGCCATCACAGATCACCAGATCATAAGAGGGGACATGGGAGACCCTGAGAGTGGACATGGGATGACTTCCTTTAAGGAGAGCAGAATGAGATCAGTTGTGAGTTAACAAATGAGACTGGAGCGAATGGACGGTGAACATTAGGCACGAAAGATGTATATGTGGAACATAAAGGTGAGCAAATGAGCACGTAGATGTCGTGCATTGATACGTACGTGTGGTATGCAAATAATAATATTAAATATTAACTTATTTATTTAACTTAATAACTTAAATATTAATATTGAAAATATCAATTAACATGTCAATATTATACCATCAAGATTCTCAGGAATTTTTGTCATATTCATGGGTGGTTTCTGCCTAATTTTTCAGCTAAGGTTGCACTGCCAGTGCCAGCACTGGTGAGCCATGAGAATGAGAGACCCAGTGATTCAGTCTCACCTTCACCGCATCATTGTCTGAGTCTGAGAGCACTGAGTGGCAGCCTGGCATGCATGGAATAAATCTACCTTGCAAGCTGCAAATAGAGCTTTGAATATATATCCTCCCCGTAGGAAACTGCAAGATTCTTGCCAGATGAATTAAATTCTACTTAATTGTCAACAGTGTTATTCATTATAGTAGTGTACAATTAGGCAGCAAGATAATGAATGTAGTGACATTTTTTCACTTTGGATCTATCTGAATAAGGCAGATTTAAGCAGAAAATTAGGCTGACTTCAGAAGCAAATAGGATTACAGGAAAATTCCAATCCACTGAGTGGGCTGTGGTGGGTTGACTGTTGATCTAATATTAGTGAGCAATGAGCATAGTTAGTTACTACATCATTGGAAAATGAAATACCATCAAACCGGGTAATAAGGGAGGGGCGGGGTAATAAGGGACTGCCCTCAGACATTGCGTAGAAATGTTGTAGCAGCTAAACCAATTAAAATATTGCAAAACAAAAAATAGTGGCAATAAAGTTCTACATTTTTCCTATCTATGTAGCGTAAAGCAAGTTAAGAAATCATACATTTACTACTGTTACCTCTAAAAATTTTTGAAAAAAGTGTGAAAAGTGAGATTTTGGATTAATGTATATGGTAATATCATATCAATAAAGAAAAAAAAAACAAGTAAAAATCACAGAAAATTTAATTTCTTCTACATTTACATCATCTACAAAGGAAGAGGAGGAATTCAGAGTATTGTTAGTAATGGATGAGCACACTCTGCATGCTTCAAACATTTTAGAATTGAGTTTTATTTCCAGTGTCCCTTATTACCCTGTTCCCAGAGTTGGTTCAGGAGGCTTTTATTTTGCATCTGTCATCTTATAAATAGCATATGGAATTTTTTCAGAGACCTCATACAATAGCCCTTGCAAATACCTTTAAAATGAGCACAAACTCATTTATGAAATGTTTCATGGTAAGAAGTTATCAAGGAAAAATGCTAAAAAAAAATATCAAGGAAAAACACAAATTTCTCATCTCTGCTCAAGATGTTAACTGGCTAATTATGTAAATTCTTTCTAATGGTTACCTTGCATTCTTACTTTATTTTTAATTCCTGAGTGATATTGTTAGGAAGTTGATTCATCATATCATCTTACAGTTACATCTAGTTTCAGTAAGTTTACTTCTTTCATTCTGCTTGCTGTGTGTAAGTGATTGATCTGACCCTTGTAAGCTGTTTTGCTTTGTTCAAAACTCATTCCTTTAATTTTAGATAGACTACTTGAACGATTGTGCTCTGGGGTGTAGGCTGACTCTAAAAGCCAACTAGACCTAAGCATAAACATGATCAATACAGCTCATAATAATTAAAACCCAATCCTTGTTTGCAAGAGTTTCAAGGGAATTCAAAGTCTGCTGTTTAGGTATACTCAAAACCATGCAAGGATCAGAAGGTACTGAAATGGGGTAAGGCCATTTTTGCTTCAGCGCACATGAGACATTTAATTTCAATAGTCCTGCCCAACTGGTAGCTTAATTTGATTGGCATGTGTTTGGAAATCAACTAAAAAACTTGTATTATGAAGACACCATCTTGTTTTTTTTTTTATAAAATTTCTATTATCTACTTGTTTGGCTGGGATTAGCAAAGGGTATCACTTTGTGCTAAAAATAAAACTTGACATCATTGTGTTGTTAATGAAAGAAATATGATATCAAGAAAATATGAGCATGCTCACTAAATTTTATAGCTATGCAAGTATGAAGTATGCAACTAGTCAACAGTGATTTCTAGAAGTCACAAAAAAAGACAATTTATAAGTCCAACACCCATAGCGCATGCTGATTGCAATGAATGGCCGTACCGTTATTTACATTGTCATTGCGGTAGCTGGTAGTGTTTCAGTGATCAGGTGTGATGTGACAGTGCTTTCTCCTTAGGTTTATATTTCAATTTTTTTAATTTATAGAATATAATTAACTGACTAGGACAATTTTGCAGTTACTAAGACATCGTTATGTGAAATTGTTTGCTTGCACCTACGGTACCTACCTCCTGGTCTACTTACAAGTGAAACTCATCAAGTGCTAGTCAGCATAGCCCTAGGCTAGAATGGGAGCCACAAATCAGGAGCAGTGGCATTTGGTGATGCCGTTGTTGCTGTATCATGTACTTGTAATTCGCCTATTAGACTATCATGTTCCCATCACTTACCTATCATTTGCCTATCACTTTATTTTCCTATTACTTGCCTACCATTCATTCTACATTTGTTTACCTACAGTGTTGCTTAGTGCTTACCTATCATTAAAACCATTTGCCCATCATTTGCATAACAGTACCATTTATCTATCATATTATGATTGCATCATCATTAATGAACTCACCGGCATCATTCATTTATTCATCATTTACCGTATGTAACATTCAAATTCCATGTAGCCTATATATCATTTGTTCATCATTTTCTTATAATTTATTTATTATTTCCAGTTATTAGTATTAAATAATAACTGGAATTTATTCTGTTTCTGTCCATTTCTGCCTTTTGATTAATTTATAGTTTATACCCAGAGGTGGGCAGTAGCGAGCTACATCATACATGTAGCGGCCGCTACTAGCAACCACAACATTTTCAGTAGCGGTAGCAGCGATCTCAGTTTGAATCTCAGGGATCTGAGATTCAAACTGATCAGTTACTGGGATCTCAGTTTGAATCAGTGTTCAGTAACCCCCGCTACTCAAGGGAGGAGAATGAAATTGAAATTAGTTTTTGTTCGTTCCGATTCAAGTTAAATGGGCTTCAAACATTATTACACAGAGGTTTTCGCATGTGTTCCACATACCATGCTATGCACGCTAAATTTGAATTTTTACGCAATAATATTTTCTTGTTTAATGGATTTCCGGCAAGTTTGATGTTAACCCAAATCAAGAAATTCATGTCGAAGCGATTCAGTGAGGTTGCTCCTGAGCGCGATAGTAGGAAAGTTATTTATTGTTCTTTTCCATACTTCGGCCCTGCGTCCGAAGCTATGTCAAGAGAATTATAAGTCTTGTTCAATAGATACTTCCCATATGTCAATCTTCATATTGTGCTGGTAAACAGTTTCACAATCGGTTCTTTCTTTAGATATAAAGATATGCTCCCTGTTCACATGCGATCGTCCCTGGTTTACTGTATATCTTTAAACTTAGGCCCAGTTTGAATTCAGCTGCTAGCTCTTATCCCCTTGAAATTGTTAATAGATAGTTCTTTTTTTGCTCCGTCTATTACTTATAAATTTAAGTTTTTAATTTCGTTCTGTGCATTCAATGTATTAATTTATGACTTCTGATTTGTGATTCTAGATTCTACGAACTGATGATGGAGCTGGTCTCCGAAACGTTTTCTATAAAGATATGAATTTTGTGGACTTTTCTTTGCTTTTAAATTCTTACAGA